CTGATATTGACATTACAAGCACATAATACAAGAATCAGTCGTTAAATCACCCAAATAAGAGAAATGGCAGGAATCCACATGCTTTCCAACACAGTTCCTTCAGCGAAGTATTCACAAATCTCGGATAACCAGATAATAGATCTCAATCAGGGCTGCTACTTTATTCCAAGAAATGGTTTTTCAAACGCCTTCCAAAGCCTTACTATAACAGTTTAGCAATTTCACAAGGTTCACCGGGATACTCTATCCAAAATCTTGTCAATGCCTTGTGAACGGCACACTCCTATCCGTCTAGGCAGCATTCGGCGTGACTAATTGATATAATACTCCGACACATTTCTGTTGACATTCCAGATTGTAGCTGAGCGTTTTCCGCGGATTACGTGCCTTTCGAAAATTTGATCTGTATTGTATGCGTATTGCTAAGGGAAATTAATACGCAATGCTCGTCCTTTGTAGAATTATACCAGGAATTCTCTATCTGTGACAGTTTCTGCGAACAAGTGGGAAGGGAGCCAATGTTGTGATTTTCCTTCACTGCAGCTCATAAGGCATTTATCAGGTAAATGTTCCCCGAGAGACGAGAGAACAACATCGCGGTCATGTGGGTGCGGCCTACAGGTGTGGCCAGCTCACTTGTAGGCAAGTAAGGGATGATGATACTTTGCTTAACACCCAGAAAACTCGGCCGTTGTTAAGCAAAGTGTCATCATTCCTTGCTTGTGGCTGGCCAATACGTTGCTTAACCTCGATGAATTACCTCCGGCTTCCAAATGCTGGTAGTAACGAGGCACTATGACTATGAATAACTCTATAATGAATGGAGCGTAAGTGTTGTTTCCATTTACGGCACATACTTGAATTCCAAGCATAGAATGGGCTGAAAAGTGGTACGTACCCGAGGGAGACCAAAATTTGCAGCAATCAGTAAAGTACCAGCCTGCAGAAACTCTCTAGAACACTTCGCAGAAATTAGGGGTCAAACTGTACAAGATTTATTTTGGTTCCCCTTAAACAATGTCTTCCTGAAAGCAATGCGTTCAAGCCAGACCTCTTCCGTTCAGCCATACACATTGATGTCGAGAATGAGTCGAGGAAGGAGATCCTCCTAAACGCAGCGTTCGTATATAGATGTGACCAGCTGAACACTCTAATTATATATCCAAGTATTTCTCATTAAATAGTTTGGCCAGTTGTATTTAATTTCAGCGCCGCCAACGTGAGCAAAGAGTGCCGCAGAATCCGCATTGGAGTCTAATTCTGACGAGTATAGTAGGTTGGCATTCCAAGCAGGTGCGATGGTACACTCGAGCAGCACCACCATCACCATTCATGTCGAGTTGTTTTTTCACTTTGTCGGGAAAAACTGGTCGCCATATGCTCCGAGACTATTGTATTGCCAGACATTTTGAAGAAGTAAACGCTATTCTGTCGGAATCGGATCACCGAACGTTTGGGAAGTGTCCTATCTGAATGTTGCGATGCCCGGTGCCATCGCTGCTGATCTCCCTGGACAGGCTCGCACGCTCATCTCCCTGCTCCACACTCATTCCGAGGTTAGCAGTTCTCCCACCATTTAGTTCTTAGTTTCAGCCCCTTCAAACAAATGCTTCTTTACTGCTGATGACGTCGCAATCTGCCGAGGCGGTTTCAAGGGGGAGAGAATGAGCCGTTTCTACCACAGGTTGTTTTCTCCTTGAATCGATCACTAACCGATTACTATTGGTAGAGCGAGACAGCCGGAGGCGGGCTAATTCCGCACCTCTTAACACTCCTTCCCCCCACCCGACTGATTGCGACGATACCAACTATATCCAGGTCTAGGTTATGTAGAAATTCCCACAAAGATACTAGGGAATTCAGTTCATACACGTTTTTCATGACGTTGGGTTGACCTTCAGTATCTCTTTCGTTCTCTGATGGAAAGAGCAGAAAGGTGGTATTAGGGAACAGTCATGGTTGATAACTGGTACTATGGTTGATATTTATTTACCAACCATAAACCATGAACAAATTTCAGTCCGTCAACTTCAATGAAGACTGGAAACTGCTGAATATTTTCATTGGTGGAAACGATATGTGCTCATTCTGTAAAGATCATGTGAGTGACAATGAGAAGAAGCCCGTAAGGCTGTATTTATACCTCGCGCTTCGAACGATTCAGTCGCTCATCAAAGCGCGCGACTAAATCGCTCGAGCTGCAAAGTATGACCGCGGGTGACAGGTTGAGCATAGCTGAATCAGTTGCTTCAGTCACTGGAACCAGCCGAGTGTGTTCAACACATAGAAGAAACAGTGAAGATCATCTACGACAATGTGCCGAGAGTGATTGTCTCTATCACTGCAATGCTTCAACTCGAAATCCTGCGACAGTCTGACAAAGGCAGACTCTTCTGTGAAGGACTCCATAAGTATTAACGAATTTGCTTAGGTCAGCGCAAAACAAATGGCTAATCCGAAATTTCAGGGAAGAATGCCCATGTGAAAGTGACGTGAAAGACTTCAACAATACCTATTTGGCCAACGTGAGTTTTATACAAG